AGATGATAAAACTTGCAATGTGGTGCTTACAAAATGACAGTGCTAGAAGGCCCTCTATGACAGTAGTATTGAAGGATCTAGAAGGTTTTATCAAGGTGGAAACCGATATTGAGGACAGATTTATTGATCCCACTCCACAAATACCAGAAAATATAGATGACTTGTGTGCTTCAGCTTCACAATCAGCAGCAATTTTATCTGGAGGACGATGAAGGTATCGATTTCAACGTGAGGTAATCATATGTATTTGTCTTGCTCTTTATCTTTCTATAGTCTAGGAAGGTATTTGTTGTATGTTTTTGTTCTGTTGTCCCATATGTAGGTTTCTACTTCGTTACATTGCATTATGCCAAGGCCAAAGAGATTAGTCACTGGATATTCTCTGCACGGGAACGAGGTTGTTAAGACTGCAACATTGTGTTTACAAAGAAATAGTTTGGGTATGACCTCTTATTCTGTTTGAAGAGCTAGCCTCTTTGATTCTCTATGCAATATTTTTATATATAGAGATGACTGTTTGACCTAAGAAATAGTTAGCTGCTGCATGTGTATCTAATATGAAAAGCGTCTTCAGTTTGTTAACAAATATTCTCCAATGATAATATAGTGACTTCCCAAAGTTATCTAAGAAAAAGATATTATTTCAACTATTTATTTTTGCCATCGGTGTCCATAAGCGGAATCAATTTGTCTTAACAAAAATTCATAAATAGGGATTGCTAAAAGGATCACAAGCAATCAGTCAGAGTGGCTCTCATCTTCAAAACCTAACTTTTAGGACTCTTATCTTCAAATCCTAACTTTTAGGACAAGTGACCAAAGCTTTAGCATTCTTCTTCAAATTAAAGTTTCCTTATTGTTTCTTATATTTTGGTTTCAACTTCCTAATCTTACTTTTAACAAGAAAAACTGCTGGGTTAACGAGCCCCCCATATAGTAATAGCCCCAGATCAGAATTTTCAAGGGAGAAGCCTGGAAAAGTATGAGAAAATTAGAAAATCTATCAAAGTTTTTATTGCTTTCTGATATTCTCATATTAGAAAGATTATGACATGAAGAGATGATTAAAGATGCTTGGACTCACAGCCCGGTCGAATGTTAACTGTTCTGGCCTAATTTGAATTCACACAGATTAGTCTATTCCATCTCGACATGGACTAACTTGACTAGCTCATAGTCTCATAATCCCAAACTGTACAAGGATAAGATCATCCATGAAACAAAATATTAACATGTCCAAACAAAGGAAAGGTAGAAGTACTAGAAACATGAACATGATTAACTAATAATAGGAGACAAATAACCTGCCAAAGTAAAAAAATTCTAGCAAAGCAGAATGAATTGGCAATCAACCGATCTAACTGGTAAGTCATTAACTTGAGCAAATGTCTAGGTTGTGATTGGTTTGACGGAAAGAGAGAGAAAGGAAAGTGAAGTATGAAAGAAAGTGGGTTTGTACTGTCTGCTTTGAAAGAAAATAAAAAGGAAAAAAACATAAATTGTACTGTAGAAAAATCGGTATATCTTTTTTCTTTCCCCCTTTCCCTCAGCTGCCCTAGTGAAAATGAGGGAGAGCGAGGGAAACGCCTCGCTCATTGCCTCCTGACCTGACCCTGATCTCTCCCCTTCCTCTCCAAAAATCGAGTCCATCTTCTTTCTCTCTCTCTCTTGCCTCCTCGTTCTCTCCTCTCTCTCTCTCTCTCTCTCTCTCTCTCTCTCTCTCTCTCTCTCTCTCCTGATTTGGTTTAATTTTTATGGCATTAGATATTATAGTTGCAACTAATACAATTGAGACTTTAGCCCTTAATTGACCTATGTTATGATCATAGCTAAGGGGGACTTATTGATTTTAACCTCGCTTTTTTTTTTGGGTATTTGCTTGGTGGTTGTTGATTATTGAGTATCGGACATCACCCCTGTCTTTTGAGAAATTTTTAGTTTACCATGATTTGGTCTTACTTTGGTTGTAAAATAAAATTGCTGGCTTGCATTTTTTTGTATATGGTAGAAATTAACATTGTAGTTAGAAACTGAATGTAGTGTGTTATCTTTAGAGATGCAGGGCTATGAATTTCCTGTGCATAACTTTATGAATTGTTATTAACTAACACAGCCTTTTCTTGTTTGGATGTTAATCCTCATCTAGTTCATTCCCTGCATTTTCTCCTCACATATTGTCAACTTGTTAGTTGTATCTAAATAGCACTATACCGCTTATATTTAAGTGCTCTATTTTCGGTATATGCATTGCTCGAGTAGATGTTTGTTTTGAGTCTATTCTGATAAAACCCTTAATTATGTGTTCATAAGATGCTTGGTTTTATCTTGATCTTTTGCTTTTGAACACAAAACTTTTTTTTTATCTTAATTATGTGTTTGTGTGTCCTAGTGACCTTGACTTTTATACCATTGCTAATTTGATGGACTACCTTCAAAACTAATTTGTGTGGATGCTGAACTATATTGTGTCGGCTTGAAAGATTAATATTAAGGCATTTATATTAAATTGTAGTCTATTTTAATAATCTAAGCATGGTTTCAAATGTTGTACCTACAACATAAAAGATATGTCAGTACCTACAACATGAAAGATATGTCACAATCGTAATTAAGAGCGATGTTTGTGAAATTGATTCAAATGAACGTACATGTTCGTGACGCTTGTATCGTGACAAATGATGCTTCTATTGAGCTTTAGATCAACCTTATGTCTTAGTTTCTTTCCATCAGCTGAATGGATTAAGAGTATCAACTATGAGAATAATTGTGGATATTGTTACAAATTCCAGCCACTACACATTGAAAAGAACCTGAGATAATTCCTAAAACCAGATAAGGTTTAGCTGCATCGGCCCCAATTACAACGAGCTCTCCAGATCCTGGAGCTTTCTGTAAATGATCGAGTGTATAGATGAAATTTTAAGCAGTGAAAGCATATTGAAGACCTTTGGGTGAACAGTGAAAGGTTGATCCCATTCTCCATTGATATCCCAGTTACCAAGTGTGTCAAGGCTAAATATGTCAATCTCTTGTGGGATGTGATTTTCTGCAATTGAATAAATCCTCCCAATATGTTCAAAGACATTTGCATTACTAAGGTACTTGTTTATTTTGCCAAATCTAAGCTGCAATAATACATTAGAATTGAGAACACTAAGATTGCTGAGGTACTTGTACTTATTACTTGAATGTTAAGACTATTTTGTAGGTTTTTGATGTTTATATTGTACTTATTTGAATTTTTTGAATTAATTTCAGGGGATGAAGGTTGCGAGATTGATGTTTTGATGGGCTCACTAAAGTAAAAAATCAAGGACTTTGGCGGATTTCTCTCTCTCTCTCTCTCTGTTTAATATTTTCTATATAAAATTGATTGTAATAGGCTTTATTGGTTAAGATTTTCTATATGAAATTGATTGTAATAGAATTTGTGATTAGAAATGGATTATACTTTTTTTTAGGAATATCATGACATTTACTTTAGAATTGTTTGGGTTCCTTTCATTTACCTTTCTGCAAATATTATGTGTGAGAAATGTTGTTCTCTAATTAGTGGATTTGTGGTTGTGCTTCTGCTTGTTATTATTTACGAACTTGATGTTGTTGACCACTCAAGTTTTTATGTTAGGAATTGCCGATTTTTTTAAAATACATGTTTATTAACTTGTTACTTCCCATGATATGAATGATATTAATTTTTAATAATTACGTTTGAACTGCATCATTTTCTAGACTTTATTTGGCATCATCTTTTTTCACTTGAGGTTATGAATAAGTGGCAAGTCCAAAATCATGTAAGATTATATGCAAATTAGAATCATCATAATTTTGATTCAATTTTCTTGAGTTAAGATTGTGCAAACATATTCGGTAACTTACAAAATTTTGAAAATATGGTAGAATCACAATTTAACTTAATTATATTTTGTAAATTGTTTAAAATCTAAATCCAATTCTAAAAAGTATGAATTAAAATTATGTTGTGATAATTTTCTTCCTCTTTTTCTCAGAAAATAACCAAATAAGAGAAAATAATTTTCTTATGAATTTTCTTCTAACTTTCATTACAATATTCTTTCTAACCAAACAATAAAAAGAATATCATTTTTTTTCTTTTTTTTTTAATTTCTCTTTCCTTCTCTTTTCTCTCCCTTTCTCAAAAAAACAAACATAGCCTTGGTCTGAGTAGTTTGGTAAGCTTAGAACCTTTTAACGTTTTTTCTCTGATAATCTAGGAAAAACTATTGCTTAGGTCTTCAGAGTATGGTTTTGAAAAAGAGAACCGAATTTGGAAGGGAGTCAGCCTGTACTCCAACAAACTTGAATTTCTATTACAGGGTGAGCCTCTACAAGAAACCTATATTTCTAGTCAAGGTACATACATTTTGATTACAATAACATACATTTTGATTACAATAACTACGACAGCGTTGCATCCTAAATAAATTCTCTCAAAAAAAAAACCCATTCTCAGAATAACATCTACTAGATTCATAAACACCCTACTCCAGCTATGTCGTATAAGTCCATGACGATAACAAAATTTAGTGATAATAATAAACTAAGGAAATTCAGTTGACTCAAGTTGGCCGCCAAAAATTCATGCAGGGAGTCCCGCTAAAGTAGCCGAGAATAGTTTCCACAAAACTTCCGTCGAACTTTCCAATATTTGTACGCTATAATCGCCTCAAATTAAGCAATCTAAAATCTCTTCAACCTCAAGCTTAGCTCTCTCCTTCAGAACACTATTTATCACCAGCCCCCATCCATCAAAAACCCCTCTCCCCCCTTTCGACAAACGGCAAAAAACCTCAACCATCACGTCCCACTCCCTATCCCCACAAAACCCCTCGACAAACTTCCTCATGCTCCCCTCCCCAGGCTCATACCCATTGAACACCATCTCGTCCAAAACGAACCTCGCCTGTTTAAATTCCTTTGCAGCGCACAACCCCTCAAAAATCATTTTGTAACTCAGCACATCGGGCCTACACTCTCTCATCGGTGAAAAGCGCGCGAATTAGGGTGGAGTAAACTGCAGAATCTAATCCCGAGATCTCTCTCCTCAGGCTGAGAGCTTCTTCGAGCTTGCCACTCTTGCAGAGGGCTTTGATTAGAGCGGCGTACACGAAGGCGTTAGGTTCTATATTGTACAGCCTCGGCATCTCCTCTTTGAGCTTGAAGGCCTCGTCGAGCTTCGAGTTGTTGCAGAGCGCGGAAATCAGGGTTCCAAATGTGACGATGCTCGGCTCAATCCCCCTCTCCAGCATTTCATCGAACAGGTTCAGCGCACAGTCGATCGATTTGGCTGATCGAATGAGGATGTTATAAGTGCAAGCATCTGGCTTCAGATTGAGTTCGTCGAGATCTCGGCTGAGCTCAGCCATCCTCTTGCGATCTCCGCTCTCGAGAAGAGCGCTGAGCAGAGAGTTGAAGGATCGGATCGATCGCCGGCATCGGAAAGAAGGTATCTGATCCGTAGAAAGAGATGACGTGGCAGAAGAGGGCTTCTTTAGGGGAGAACCTCGTCTCTTGGCTCATCTGGGAGAGGACTTGCTCCATTTCTTCGAATTTCTTGGCTCGGCCGAGCTTGCAGATGATGAGATCGTAGGAACTCGCGCTGTAGCGGTAGGGCTTAGAGCTAGGGCCACAGTTAGGGTTAGGGTTTTTGAAGAGTTCGAGGGCGCGATTAGGGTTTTTCTCGACTCGGAGAAGGGAGGTGAGTCGAAATGGTGAGATTAGGGTCTTGGCTCCTGCTTTCGCCATCGATGAGGCGACGGAGCGCGGGAAGGGGTGAGGAGGTGGTTCGAGAAGGAGGGTTCGCGTCTGGTGTTACTGCGGAACAGTTTCCTTAAACGGTGGCTGCTCAGCCTGCTCCTAAATGATGAGCGATCAGTTTATGTAACTGCTCATGTTTCATTTCAAAACATTTAATTAAATTTGTGTAACTATGACTACACACGTTTTTGTTAACTAGTATAGTGCATGTGCGTTGCACATGGGCATAATTATTATTTGTTCATATAAATAAATTTCAATTAATTATTCAATTAATGAGAGTCTCTTACATAAAATATATAGAATAAATAAGTTTTAGTGTCGATTGCGCGTTCATTTGAAGTCATATAAATCAACTTGTATTTTCACAAAGAATCTCATATTGGTACAAAATAAGAGGTTTATGTTTTCTTGAAATATTAGTCTAGAATTTAATGTTTGGTCTCATAGAATAGAGCATATTAAAATTATATAGATTAAAGTCTACTAAAGTCAAGGTTAGATTTCATCGAGATAATAATAAATTTTAATTAGAATATCTGTACACCATTTCCTAGATTCTGTCTCTAGTAACCACTTATAATTTGAAAAACTCCTAGATAAATAATATCATTACAATAATAAAAATATTATATATAATATAAACTACTCTCTATATTTTAAGAAATTTTTCCTTTTCTTCTAACAAAAGAGATTCTAAACAAAGAAATATAAACTTTTTTTTAAATTTAATATAGCTAATATTCTTTATGAAAATATGTGTATAATATCATACACAACGTGATTCCCTAACATAAAACCCTATACTTGATCTTTTGTTGTAATGTTAATTTTGAAAATAAATTAATGAGATAATACAACGTGATTCCCTAACAATAAAAACTTGAATTGCACAAACATCATTCACTGTAAAATTAACCATATGCTAGCCCTTTGATAATTGTTATATCTTTTAAAACTCCATAATTTTTTAAAGAATAAAATAGAACTTCATACTGCTAAGCTAGATTTATAGACGATACACATGAATTTAATTCACAAAAATCACTCAGCATAAATCTAGTAGAACGATGTAGTTTATCTATTGAAACAAATAAATAATAATGAGAAAAATATAAAAGAGGTTCGTGCAAATTACCATAAGGAGGAAAAACATTTTCTAACCTTCAATTTTCTTGTGAAGGAGACTAAAGAACTCCAGAATCCATTTGCAATTGAAGGAATCTAAGATTTTTAAACTTTCCACATGAGAACCACCTACAAAACAAAAGAAAAAATAACAAAGCATTAATTAATCTTGATACCATATCAGGGTCGGAATGAGAATAAAATTTGGATCGCTAAATGCTCATGGCTAGAATGGGAAGAAAAACAAACTAATCTAATAAACATTATTGCATGAGAAGCCCCTTGATCTTTTATGAGCAATTCTTCCCCCTTCCTTGTACTAATCCAATCATAAGTCAAATCCTCAAGGTGTCTTATCATCTGTGTCGAAGACCATAAGGGAATGATGAATGTCTCATCAAGATGAAGTTCATAGTTTGATTTTAAAAGGAGACTATCTTCAAGACGTGAATATACTAAAGTTTGCCTACCCACTTGGCTTTCCCCATATTCGAAGCCCAACAACTTGTTCTCTGAATACTCACTAAACCACATAAAAGCAAAGCTACTCTAGCATATTAATAGAAAACTATACTTGTTCTCTGAATACTCACTAAACCACATAAAAGCAAAGCTACTCTAGCATATTAATAGAAAACTATAAAGATTATTTATTAATTATAACATATATATTGCATGGAAGTTACAAAGTTGCTTGCCTGTTAGCTGAATATAATAACATGACCGCATAAAAGACATAGCTATTCTAACATATTAATAGCTAATTATAAAGATCATTTATATGTGCATGTAAGTTACAAGATTCATATAAGTTACAACTATTTTAGAAAACATGACCCACTTTTAAGGAAGCATAAATCTCTATATAAAGATTCATATAAAAATTTCTTACTTAGCAAATAATTTGTTCTAATTTGTTTTTCAAATGCTAGTTTATTGACTCAAGATTTATAATTAATTAGTTTTTATCATAATTTGTATTTAAAAGAAACTATGTACCGAGTGTGAGGAGTGAACGTTGTTCGGTGAGCGTTGAAAACCGACACTGTGAGGTGTAAACGTTATTCGGGTGAACGTAGAAAACCCGGTTGTGATAGTGGATTTCTCCCTGGGAGTGGGGAGCGGAGACGTAGGACAGAAGGTCCGAACTCCGTGATCATTTGAGTGTGTTTGAGTTTGTCATTGGCGCATTTGTTTTTGCATTTATCTTATATCGCCAATTGTGCATTGTCTCATTATTCATATCATCCTCTATCTTGTTTCATTTTGTTTACTCTTGAATTAGTTTATATATCCTTGCATATATATTTCATCATATAGGATACAATTGTATATAGACCCTCAATTGAATTAACTATTGCTAGATACATGGGCATAATATCCTTGAATTATATAAACTATTGCTCTAAGATTCACATATAGGATACAATTGTATATAGACCCTCAATTGAATTAACTATTGCTAGATATATGGGCATAATTTATTTATTGAAATTTACATATATAGACCCTCAATTGTATCTAGCCATAGTCTACAGTCGCTTCGATCAATAAAACATTGCAAAATGTTATCCAGATAAGAGCAACTATTTTTTTTTTCTCTAACTATTTTTTTTGAGAAAAAAAAATAGTTGCTCTTATCTGGATAACTAGATCATGTATCGAGTATAACAAGATTCTTGTACATAGTTTCTTTTATGAATATATATAATTGAATAGTCTTGGACCCAAGTTACACTGTCCCTGTTTTAAAAAATTGTTGATCTTAAAGAGCAAAATTGACCTGTAAGTTGCCGCGGCATTTATGTGAACAACCTAAAAAATAATGGTTAAGCATTTTGCTTAGAGAATTTTTTTTAATTTGTTAATAAAAATATATTTGGAAGATATAATATAGATAGTTACTTATTTTTAAATAAATTGCTCAACTCATTGTAGTTATTATTAGGTCTCACAATTTTCAAAATCTTTTTCAAATTAACGACTCAGGTTATTACTTTTACTCTTTATTAGAGGGACTCATTTCTATATAATAGTATAGTGCACGTGCGTTGCACGTGGTATATGGCTATATCAAAATAACTAAAAGAATAATATATAGATATTGAATGAACGTACTAATAATATAATGTATTTATGTTTTTCTCTAGTGTAATATTCTTCTTAAAAAATTATCATTTTAATAAATATCTTGAGTATCATACTAATATTTTATTCGTGCATTCAAACTTGTTCGTGGATTCGAAGATTGTCCGTTGTGGATTCCGAGGTTACTACTTCCCCGCTGCGTCAATATGTATGAGTAATAAATTAAATATATGATAAATAATTATAATATAATTATATAATATTATGATATTGTAAGGAATTAAACTAAATTATAATATTGAATTATATTAAATCATTAATTATGATAAGTAATTATATTAATACCTGTAATATTTATATGATGTATTTCATCATTTATAAAAAATGGATTAGATAAGAAATTTTTTATAACAATAATAGATCTTACAAAGCGACAAATAATTCCATTAAGGAACCTAATGTCAATGTAGTGATTTGAAGGGTTAATTTCTAATTAACCTAAAGAGTATAGGACTTAATAACAATTTTTATTATTTGAGGTATACATTTCAAAATGTGAAAGATTTAAAGGACTCATATTCGAAAAATAAACACAGAAGGTGGCATGATTCGAACCCATGACTTGAGGAACAATTTTTATTATTTGAGGTGTAAATTTCAAAATATGAAAGATGTAAAGGACTCATATTCGAAAAATAAACACAGAAGGTGACAGGATTCAAAGTTTCAAACCCATGACTTGAGGATCAATAGGCTAGTGTCATACCAAAGTTTGTGCTCATTTAGTTCCAGTAATTATGTATATAAATTTTATACCGCAGCTATGACAAGACTTTCCATAGTGATAACGGTTTTTCTATAGAGTGCCCTTGGGCACTCTATAAGAGAGGAGAGAGATAGAGAGAAATGAATGAAGAGAGGATCCCAATGCAAATCAGGGGGCCCCCCTCCTCATTCATTTCTCTCTATCTCTCTCCTCTCTTATAGAGTGCCCAAGGCATACCATATGGTATATATATTTGTTCCAACTTTCTTTACAATAAAGAATCTCGATATCAATCTCCTACTCTTAATGTTGCAACCGTTCCTCCCAATAGATGAAAGCTTAAATTCCAACATCATCGATCCAACCTAATACACGATATAGACCGGTTCAATGCGCATCTTAGGTCACCCATTTTATTACTGAACTTGCCTGCATAGGTTTCTTGACATGTGTTGGCACTATTGAGTTAGTTCTTGAGGTCGTACACGGCTCTGTCTTGGTCATTGAGCTGATAGTTTCAAACATGGTCGATGACATCTTTGAGGTCCCGGACTGCATAATCGAAGACGACGTTCCTCGGTGGCGGCATAGAGGATGGTTGATCGGTTGATGGCATCTCTAATGTGGGCGTGGGTGACCTTTAAGAGATCTTGGTTAGGGGTTTTAACGTTAGTGTTGTTGGCTTTGTCTTTAGGCTGAACATATAAAGGAAAGAAGGATGAGTTGTTACTGATAACAGAAGCCTAAAGGTTGGGGGATTAGTATCTAACTAATGGAGTTATAATGGTGATTTAATGGTAACTCTTAATGGATTAATAGGATTGATTAATGGATGGTTGTTTAATGTTGACGTTAGAGAATTTAAATGGTTATAGGTAATGAATTATAATCACCACTTATGAAACAATTCATTATAGTTGTAATGAAAGCACCTAATAATAAGTTGAAATCTTTGACGGCTAATCCTCAACTCCTCTCGTGTTTATAAAATTAAATTAAATTTTTTAAAAATATTTTTCCTTATTAAAAAATTTATATGTTTTTATAGTTGACGTATCATTTTTTTGGATTGGCATTTTTAAAAATATATAGTGAATGACGGTTTTTATAAAATTGCACGTGCATTGCAAGCTCTAGTACATGTTAAAAAATATATAATGAATGGTTTGATGACATTAATATTGGATTAGTGGAGGGGTTACAAAAAATAGAAGTTAAATATTAGTGGACAATTAATAGGAGAGTTATGACATTATTAAGAATGCATGCATATATATGTATGTGGTTATGGTTATATGTATGTGTTTTATGGATTTTATGTATGTATGTATGTGTTTTAAAGGGTATTTTCGGGAGAAATGTTTTAACATACCAAACCACTTTTAGAATAGTATTAGATTAGATTTAATTTAATAGGAGAGTTATGACATTATTAAGAATGTATGGATATATATGTGTTTATATGTATGCATGTATGTGTTTTATGGATGTATGTATGTGTTTTGAAGGGTATTTTCGGGAGAAATGTTTTAACATACCAACACATTTTTATAATAGTATTAGATTTATGCTAAATTCCTATTGGTCCTACTCACATTGATGGAGTGTGAGTGATTTTATTATTTAAAGGCTTGGTCCTCTCTCTACCCATTATGTGAAATATTTTCTCTCCATCAAGAAAATTTCGGAAAAGTTCAAGAAGGTTAAGGGAGAGAAACTCAAGTCTACAAGATTGTTCATCTTGTAATCAAATCATGGATCAATGTATGTTTTCTTAATTAATTGTTTATTGTGAAAATCATTTGTTCTAAGATATTGGTATAATGATAATAAATCAATATTAAAGTTTTTGTTTGATTTGCCTCAATTAAGAATTATGTTTACAATGTTACCGAGTGAAGACCGTAAGTATCTCGCTCAATCATGCAGCGTAGGCATTGGTCTCAATCCAAAATTCGGTTGACTGACCTAGTAATCGTTCCAATTTGGCTGCCCAGACTGTCGGTGTGATGAAAATAGTAACCTCCCTCCTCAGCCACACCCTTAGAAGCCCCCCAGTGCATTTCCTCCGGTTAATAATAATAATAATGAAGAAGAAGAAGAAGAAAATTCCGTTGACTGACCTCTCTCCTCAGCCACACCCTTATAGTCTTTTGACTTGGTTGATGAGAAATTGGGTGAAGAATTTAAGATGCAGGCGAACAAAATTCGTCCTTCATTGGTCTCGCCCACGACTATTTTATATGTTTGGAAACAGCCCCTCGTCCTCCATGGGTAGTTGCTTCACAAGGGAGAGGGCGTGATCGAGGAGACAGATTAACCTGGAAGCTTGTGGCTGCCGTCGTGGCACTGGCGATCGAGGGTGACAGCAGAGCGGCTTTTGTCGGACCGTCTCTTCTTCCCGCCATCATGCTGATGCGGTACCGCCTGATCTTGTGCTCTGCCCTCGTCTCGCTCCACGCCTTCCCCGGAGGTGCTCTTAATGCCACCACCCTGCGCCCGCCTGCGGTGTGGACAAACAATGATTCCAGCCTCAATCGTTCAAGCAGTCCTGGCTCCCTCGTCCGGGTCGTACTCTCCCTACCCATATCAGACATCCCTCATGATTACCTGGGCTCAGGCGGTCCGCCTGCGGTCGCCTGCGGCTTCTTCTGCAATCAGACTGACAAGCTCCGTTGCGACTCCTTCGTCTTTGCAGCCATCTTTCTTCATTCGTATTCAGTAAACGTCTCCTTTAGCGGCCCGCTAACAGAGTTCGCCCGGTGGGCGAGAACGCCACCCTCCATTTCTCCCAGGACGTCGGATTGTCCCTCAGAGACGCGGATGGTACTCTGGTCTGGTCCTCTAACACTGCAGGCAAGTCAGTAGTGGGGATGAGGTTGAGCAAGGAGGGAAGGCTGGAGCTGTTCGACGGCAGTAATGCGTCAACCTGGGATTCTTTTGATTACCCGACCGACTCATGGCTTCCTGGTCAGACTCTGAAGGAGGGGCAGAGGCTGACTGCAAATGTTTCGGCTACGGATTGGAATCGAGGTCAGTTTTATCTTAGTGTTGTTAGTGGAGGGTTGGAAGCTTATGTAGATTCGTATCCTCCTCAACTTTACTATCAACACAAGAATAGTTCGTGGAGTGCGCCTACTCACATAACCTTCACCGACGGAAGCCTCATCATGTCCTCAGATTCTACGGACATCAACGGAAGCCTCATCGACTTAATCGTGACCACGGGAGTATCGTCATTGCAGTTCATCAGATTAGATTCTGATGGGCATCTAAGGCATTACGGGTGGGACACAGATGGGTGGGCGTCGTTTGATGTCTTCTTAAAATCTGACCCTCGGTTCGGATCCTCTCAGCGAGACGATTGCACCTACCCAACTGTTTGTGGAGAGTATGGCTTATGCTCTAATGGCGACTGCACCTGTCCAAATTTCACCTATTTTAGGCAACTGGATGAAAGGCGCGTCAATCTTGGTTGCTATCCTGTTACTCCTTTATCATGTCAGTCCACTAATAATCATCAGTTGCTACCTCTAGCTAATGTTTCCTACTTCATTTACAACGATTTGACTGCTGGAAGTTTTACAAGCACGGATGAGCAGCAATGCAAGCAGGGCTGTCTGAGAAATTGTTCATGTAAAGCTGTGTTTTTTAAGTTTACAAATGATAGTTCAAATGGTTCCTGCTATCTGCCATCACGGCTTTATTCATTGTCCTACAACGATCCTCAAATCAGCGGGTACAATTCATCAGCTTATATCAAGGTGCAAATTCAAAAGAAGGTGCAAATTCCAAATAAAAGAACAGGGTTCGAGGAGCAAATTCAAAAGAAAAGAACAAGGTTGGCGATCATATTGGGAGTCACGCTTGCAGGTTTATTTGCTGCAGCTATTGTAATAGGCTGCATAGTCTTAACAATCAAGAGAAAAATAACTTCAGAGGCAGAGAAGGAAGATAACTTTGAATTGACATCATATCTACCAACAATATTTTCTTTTGAGGATCTGAAAGCGGCTACTGAAAACTTCAGCCGAGAGCTTGGAAAAGGTGGATTTGGGTCTGTTTTTGAAGGGACACTGGGTGGCCAGAGAGTTGCGGTGAAGAGATTGGAGGGTGTAGGCCAAGGGGCAAAAGAGTTCTTGGCTGAGGTCAAGACCATTGGAAATGTTCACCACATCAATCTGGTAAGGCTAATAGGTTTCTGTTCAGAGAAGTCTCATAGACTCTTAGTTTATGAGTATATGTTCAATGGATCATTGGATAAGTGGATATTCTACAAAAATGGAGACGACCCTCTCGACTGGCAGACACGAGTCGAAATTATAACCGATGTTGCCAAGGGATTGTCCTATCTCCATGAAGACTGCAGGCAGCGAATTGCTCATCTAGATATCAAGCCACAAAATATACTCTTAGATGAAGGGTTTCATGCAAAGATATCAGACTTTGGGTTATCTAAGCTAATTGAGAGGGACCAGAGCCACGCATGGACTACCATGAGAGGAACCAGAGGCTATCTAGCTCCTGAATGGTTGACTTCAAAAATTACGGAGAAGGCAGATGTCTATAGCTTCGGTGTTGTGGTCATGGAAATTGTTTGTGGAAGAAAGAATTTGGATTATTCTCAGCCTGAAGAATGTATCCACTTGATCAGTCTGTTGCGAGAAAAGGTTAGACAAAACCGACTCTTAGATATCGTTGATTATCGCAACAACAATATGCAATTGCATACATATGAAATTGTTGAGATGATAAGACTTGCAATGTGGTGCTTGCAAAATGACAGCGCTAGAAGGCCCTCTATGACAGTAGTATTGAAGGTTCTAGAAGGTTCCATCAAGGTGGAAACCGATATTGAGGACAGATTTACTGATCCCACTCCACAAATAGCAGAAAATATAGATGGCTTGTGTGCTTCAGCTTCACAATCAGCATCAATTTTATCTGGAGGACGATGAATATATCGATTTAAACGTAAGGTAATCATATGTATTTGTCTCGCTCTTTATCTTTCTGTAGTCTAGGAAGGTATTTGTTGTATACTTTTGTTCTGTTGTCCCGTATGTATGTTTCGACCTCGTTACACTGCATTATACCAAGGCCAAAGAGATTGGTCATTGGATATTATTCTCTGTACGGGAATGAGGTTGTTTAGACTGCAACATTGTGTTTACAAAGAAATAGTTTTGGTATGACCTCTTTTTTTTTTGAAGAGGTAGACTCTCTTTAATTCTCTATGCAATATTTTGTTATATAGTAATGACTGTTTGACCTAAGAAATAGTTGGCTGCTGTGTGTGTATCTAATATGAAAAGTGTCTTCAGTTTGTTACCAAAAATTCTCCAACGATAATATAGTGATTTCCAAAAGTTATCTAAGAAAAAGATATTATTTCAACTACTTATTTTTGCCATTGGTGTCAATAATCAATTTCTCTTAACCAAAATTCATAAATAGGGATTGCTAAAATGATCACAAGCAATCAGAGTGGCTCTCATCTTCAAATCCTAACTTTTAGGACAAGCGACCAAAGCTTTAGCATTCTTCAAATTAAAGTTTCCTTCTTCAAATCCTAACTTTTAGGACAAGTGGACCAAAGCTTTAGCATTTTTCTTCAAATTAAAGTTTCCTTGTTGTTTTTTATATTTTGGTTTCAACTTCCTAATCTTACTTTTTAATAAGAAAATTGTTGGGTTAACGAGCTTCCCAGATAGTATCAGCATCAAATCAGAATTTTGAAGGGAGAAGCTTGGAAAAGTATGAGATAATCAGAAAAACATATCAAAGTTTCTATAACTTTCTCATATTAGAACGACTGTTACATGAAGATATGATTAAAGATGCTTGGACTCATAGCCCGGTCGAAGGGTAACTGTTTTGACCCAATTTGAGTTCAAACAGACCAGTCTAATCCATCTCGACATGAACTAACTTGACTAGCTCACAATCTCATAATCCCATTGTACAGGGATAAGATCCTATAGCTTGTAAAACAAAGTATTAACATGTCCAAACAAAGGACTGATACAGCTACTAGAAACATGAGCATGATCAATTAATAGTAGGAGACAAATGACCTGCCAAAGTATAAAATTCCTGCAAATCAGAATGAATTGGCTATCAACTCAAACGAGTAAGTGATTAACTTGCGCAGACACTTAGTCTGAGTAGTTTGGTAAGCTTAGAACCTTTTAACGTTTTTTCTCTGATAATCTAGGAAATACTATTGCTTAGATCTTCAGAGTACGGTTTTGAAAAAGAGAACCGAATTTGGAAGAGAGTGAGCCTGTACTCCAACAAACTTGAATTTCTATTACAGAGTGAGCCTCCACAAGAAACCTATATTTCTAGTCTAGGTACATACATTTTGATTACAATAACTACGACAGCGTTGCATCCCAAATAAATTCTCTCCAAAAAAAAACCACATTCTTAGAATAACATCTAAAAGATTCGTAAACACCCTACTCCAGCTATGTCGTATAAGTCCATGACGATGACGAAATTTAGTGATAATAATAAAATAAGGAAATTCAGTTGACTCCAAGTTGGCCGCCAAAAATTCATGCAGGGAGTCCCGCTAAAGTAGCCGAGAATAGTTTCCACAAAACTTCCGTTGAACTTTCCAATATTTGTACGCTATAATCGCCTCAAATTAAGCAATCTAAAATCTCTTCAACCTCAAGCTTAGCTCTCTCCTTCAGAACACTATTTATCACCAGCCCCCATCCATCAAAAACCCCTCTCCCCCCTTTCGACAAACGGCAAAAAACCTCAACCATCACGTCCCACTCCCTATCTCCACAAAACCCCTCGACAAACTTCCTCATGCTCCCCTCCCCGGGCTCATACCCATTGAACACCATCTCGTCCAAAACGAACCTCGCCTGTTTAAATTCCTTCGCAGCGCACAACCCCTCAAAAATCATTTTGTAACTCAGCACATCGGGCCTACACTCTCCACTCGGCATTGCCAACACGCTCGACAGCATCCGCAGCTCTCGCTTACAGAATCCGCGAATAACGGTGTTAAGCTACAAATCAGGTAATCCCCTCCTTCTCATCTCGTCTCATTGCCCCCAACGGGCAGCATCAAGATCCCGATCATCGCAAAACGCCGCGATCATCGCGTTATAGGTTACAGACAGTCAGGTTCACACAGCCTTCTGTCATCTACTCCAAAGTTCAACAACCTCCTCCTTTTCGCCCCTGTGGAAAGCGCGCGAAATTAGGGTGGAGTAAACTCAGAATCAATCCCGGAATCTCGCTCGCTCAGGCTGAAGAGCTTCTTCGAGCTTGCCCACTCGTTGCAGAGGGTTGATAGAGCGGCGGACACGAAGGCGTAGGTTGATGCTGTACAGGCTCGCTGTGCCTCTTGAGCTGAAGGCCCGTCGAGCTTCGAGTTCGTTGGCGAGAGCGGGAAGATCAGGGAAATGTGACGATGCTACGGCTCATACCCTCTCCAGCATTCATCGAACAGGTGCAGCGCAGAGTCGACTGAGTGGCTGATCGAATGAGGAGTTATACGTGGCAAGCATCTGGCTTCAAGATTGATTCGTCCGAGATTGGGATCTCAGAAGTCCTCTTGCGACTTCCCGCTCGTCGAGACAGAAGCGCTGAGGCAAGAGTGAAGGATCGGATCGATCGCCGGCATCGGAAGGGCGGGTACTTGATCGAAGGCTTTGAACGGCGGGCGCGAGCAGCGCCGGCCGTAGAAAGAGATGACGTGGCAGAAGAGGGCTTCTTTAGGGGAGAACCTCGTCTCTTGGCTCATCTGGGAGAGGACTTGCTCCATTTCTTCGAATTTCTTGGCTCGGCCGAGCTTGCAGATGATGAGATCGTAGGAACTCGCGCTGTAGCGGTAGGGCTTAGAGCTAGGGCCACAGTTAGGGTTAGGGTTTTTGAAGAGTTCGAGGGCGCGATTAGGGTTTTTCTCGACTCGGAGAAGGGAGGTGAGTCGAAATGGTGAGATTAGGGTCTTGGCTCCTGCTTTCGCCATCGATGAGGCGACGGAGCGCGGGAAGGGGTGAGGTGGTTTGAGAAGGAGGGTTCGCGTCTGGTGTTACTGCGGAACAGTTTCCTTAAACGGTGGCTGCTCCTAAATGATGAGCGATCAGTTTACCATCTCTTTGGCTTTCCTTTCTGGGTTCTCGTTATATTAAGGCTTGGTGCAGGGATACCGGACAGCGAGAAGGTACGTATGAGCTTGGGTGGTCTATAAATTTCCGAAGAAATTTAGCATAATATCTTTAGTTTTCTCTTTTTGTTGGGGGATGATGGAGAGCTGCTGCTGTCCTGTGAAGTTCTCTGCTCTTCACAGTGCGCAGGTAAAATTCCTTTCTTTTTTCACTATTTTTTTTCATGGGTTTGTTGTGTAGATGGTTCTGTATTTGTATAGAAATCTCAAAAACAAGATAGGGTAATACAATTTTTAAAGACCTTTAAAACCTTATAAAGGTTAAAAATTGTTTACCTAGATAATCTAAAATTCTGAAAATTTTAGTTCGTTCAGTGGACACAAATTACCATTTAGGGCCTGTTTGGATTTGTAGGGGGTGAAGGGAAGCTAAGAGAAAATGAGTGAAGGGAAGGGAAGGGAGTTCCCTTTCCCTTGGTTACACCCCAATTTGGGGGTAACAATTTTTATACTATTAGGGGGTGAACCAAGGGGAACTAGGGTGAATTAACTTCACCTCCTAAGTATTCCCAAACAAGGTGAATGGAGGTGAATGGTTCCCCTAACTTCCCTTCACCCTCATTCCCCTCAATTCAAACACCCCTGATCTTAGGGTGTACTTATGGTTTGAGGGTTAAGTACAGAAAACACCCCTATCTT